TGCTCCCACACCAGGAGGCCGTTGGCCCACAGGTGGGAGTTGTAGGTGAACCTAAAAATCCCACACACTTCCACTTCTCCTTATAAACTAGGAGGCTCCTGTGTCCAAGGGAAAGCCACTTTTAAAGTTGTAGGTACAAATAGTAGCAAAAACACGATGCTAGGGATGGGTGAACAGAGCTGGTGCAAGAGATCCAGGAGGATCTAGTGAGGTCTCCGACAGCATCTGTATATCTGCCGAAAGGTATATGGTCCTCCGGTGTGACAGTGCCAGTGTAAAGTGGAGCAGTTGCAGGCCACTCAGAGCCCCGAGTAATAATAATGGCTCCACTCAGACCTGGTGGGGACAATCTGCAGTATGTAAGGGTATTAACTTGCAAAACCCCTGTGATGGAGCAGCAATCCTACTCACCTGTAATTGTCTCAGAGAAATCACACAAGTCTCTATGAAGACTAGTACAGAGATGTACAATGTAGCCTTGTTTGTAGTAGCAAAAGACTGGATAAATTAAATGTAAGATATACATACAGATGGCTATCTGTCTGTATCTAATATTTATAGCTATAGCTATCTATCTATACCTATATATCTTACATTATATTTAAAATCCCATGTATAGAAACTTTCTCCCCTTGAATACATGGATCATTAATTATTGTTTTGTTCTGAAGGGGCTTTAAATATATTATAGATCTATTTTTTATATTGTTTTTATAATTTGAAGAACAAAAATTCTTTTTTTTAAGTTTATTTATTTTGAGAGAGAGAGAGAGAGGGAGAGAGAGAGAGAGAGAGAGAGAGAGAGAATGGGGAGGGGCAGAGAGAGAAAGATAGAGAAAATCCCAAGCAGGCTCTGTGCTGTCAGCATAGAGCCTGATGTGGGGCTTGAACTCGAGAACCATGAAATCATGACCTAAGCTGAAACCAAGAGTGAGACACTTAACTGAGTGAGCCACCCAGGCCCCCTGCATATAAATTCTTTTTAAAGGAAGTAATAGAAAGAAATGAAAGAATTAACTAAGCTACAGATGTGAAAAGCAGCAGAAATAAGGAGTAGCAGGATGTATGGACAATATCCTCAAACAGGAAAAAAGGAAGCGATGCAGCTGTTCCTCTTCCTCTTTCTAAGGCCATATGGGTTTTCCTTTGGGAAGTCACCGTCCCCCGCCTGCTCCCTCTGAATCAGCCCTGCTTGGCTTAAACTCATCAGAGAAATCCTTCCCTCCCAACAAGGTCTTGACTGCAAATGAAGAACTGTGTTCCAGGCCTAACCCCATTAGATTTCATAAAATAGAGAAAAGACTAGACTAAGAAATCAGTTTTATTTTATTATGCACAGATGTATGCCTGAAAAGCCTAAAAGCACACCTGATTGTGTTCCCTTCACCTGATCACTTTTAGTTCCTTTCACCTGATCACTTTTAGTTGCTTTTCTCATTTGAAGATATTTTTAGAAACAAGAATTTAACTGCAGTTAATCCCAGTTGTCACACTTTAAGATAAATAATGAGCTATCGTTCATAGAGAAATGGTTTTTTATTCTGTAAAAACTTGCATAAATGGAGTGAGTCAGGGCTGTGCCCTGTGGGTGCCTGGGGACTGTGATTTGGCTGATCATACGATACTACACAGTCTGGGCAGCGTGCATTACTGTCCCCCATCTAGGACAAATCTGTCACACAGCACCAAATATACAATTGTATCTATCATCACAGAATCAAATTCAAATGAAAGATGGTCAGTTCTATGTAGATAAATTAGGAAAGAGGACTGTGGTTTAGGGCCAAAAAGGAAAAATTTGTGGAATATTCTATTCCCTTAGGAGATTCCATGACTTGTCTTACTATATCTACGCTTGGCATTGCTGTTCCTAATTTATTACCTCCCAGGAAGAAACAAAGACATCTACTGAATAATATCGATGTGAGAAGCTTGGGAAACCATGAGATATTAGGACTTCTGGCCTCATCAAATCAAAAGTGAACTATGCTAGTTTGCTTCATGGGGAAAGCCTGGCTTTGCAGTTACAGTGTTAATTTTGGTTCTTGATTATTCCCTGGTTCTAAGAACTGTGGCCTCTCTCAAAACAAAAAAGCCAGAGTATCAGTGCTGACCAAATATAGACACTGGTTTGTCTTTGTAAATACTTAGAGGAAAAGTGTCACAGAAACTTCTCCAAATGTAAGATTGTTAAAAAAAAAAAAAAATCCATGGGGGGGTTTTAGTATGAAGACCCCACTGGAATTTCAGAAACTACTGCATATGGTGGACTTGGGCCCTGATTTAACTTTGCCTGTTTGAAGTATGGAGAAAGGTCAATAAATACACTGCTGTGCAAATAAAGGAACCATGGTATTAGAATTTCAGGCTTGGAGAGGCTGGAGAATACTGGTAGTGCACTTTCCTCACTCCATACCTATATAGTGTTTAATGCTCTATTATGGACTAGTAATACTATTAAAAATAATGATAAGGATAAGAGATTAGGAAAAGGTTAATATTTGTCTTGGCAATTTCCTGGACTTAATCTCCCATTTGTTTCATTACCTTAATAATTTTAAAGGCACAGATATTTGGTTTATTTTTGAGTGGAAAGTGACATGTATTTACAGCTTAAAAAAGCTCATAATGTAAAGACAATAGTCTATTGCTTTTTTTATGTCATTCTCCTAGCAGTGACATATTTTTGCATTAAAGTAAGAATCGTAGAAGGGAAAACTTTTCGCTGTGTTCTCTAATGTCACCAGTTGAAGTTTAAAGAATCTTGACTATTTTGTGCCTTTACCGGCTCCTATGCTGGCATCTATGAGTCACCACTAAGAATGTCAGTGCATTTATTTATTTGTTTATATATCTGGTTTTGTATTCCCAGCAACTCACACAGTGTAATAATGGAGGGTGTTTACCATATCTGTATTGGGTGAAAAGAGAAATCAAGAAGGAGAAGGAAGGAGGGAAGAAAAGGTAGAGCATAGGGTATTTTTAGGGCAGTGAAACTATTCTAAAGGATACTGTAATGGTGGAAAACTGTCACTATACATTTATTAAAACCCATAGAATGTACAAAACAGTGAAACCCAATGTAAACTCTGCACTTTAGTTAATACTCTTGTGTCAATATTGGATCATCAAGTATACCACACTGACACAAGAGGGAAATAATAGAGTTTGCATGCAGGCAAGGAGGGAAAGAGGACATGTGGGAATTCTCTGTACTTTCCAATCAATGTTTCTATAAACCTTAAACTCTAAAAAACATAAAGCCTCTTAATTTAAACAAGAAAAGAGAAATAAATCAAGATAACTTAGAGGAGATGTTCTTAGAATGTATGGATTGTAAGCAACAAAAACCCAATTTGTTAGCACAGGCACAAGACTAAATATATTAGTTTGCTTACTCAAGCCATGGGAAAGCATCAGGGAAAACTGGAACCAGGAGCTTATATGCTCTTTTTCATCTTTGTAACAGTCTACGTTGACTTTCCTCATAATGCCCAAACCGTGGTGGCACAGCTCCCATGGTCATGTCCTACCAGGTGTGCCACAGTAGGAAAGGGCACAGTTTCTAGTTGTTACTAGAAAACTCTCCAGGGGATACTGGTCAGCTTAGCTTGGAAATGTGAATACCTTTAGACCGTTTATAGGGGTCGAGAGACAGGCTCCAATTAGAGTATAGTGTTTAAAAGGCTGGAAATGATAGAAGCATTGATAGCAGGCGTGATAAAAACATGATAGAATTCTATTGTGATTATCCTGGCAAATGGCATTGGTGGCTCAGAAAAGGGAAGTAGAAGCAGAGAAAGAGAAGTAGTCAAATTCTGAATATATATTGAAGATAGGGCTGTCAGGATGTATTGAGGCATTTAGTATAAGACAGGAGAGAAAGAATGGGCAATGACTTCAAGGTTTTTATCCTGACAGCTCAAAGAATGAAGCTGTCTTTAAATGAGCTATGATGGTTAACATTATGTGTCGACTAGGCTAAGAGACATCCAGTAAGATATTACTTCTGGGTGTGCCTGTGAGGGTATTTCCAGAAGAGTTTAACATTTGAATCAGAAGCTTGAGTAAAGCAAATAAATCTGCTATCACCAGTGTGAGCAGGTGTCATCCATCTGTAGAAGGCCTGAAAAAAACAAAACGGCAGAGGAACAGTGAATTCTGTCTTTTCTTGATGAGGGACATCTATCTTCTCTTGCCTTTGGACTTTGGTACTCCTGGTTCCTGGGCCTTGGACTCTGGGAGTTAACCCTAGCTCCCTTGTTTTTTTCAGGCCTTTGGACTTGAACTGAATTATATCACTGGATTTCCTGGTTCTCCAGTTTGTAGATGGTAGATCATGGCATATTTTAGCCTCCATAATCACATGGAGCCAATTCCTATAATAAATTTCCTCTTTTATGTATTATCTATCTATCTATCTATCTATCTATCTATCTATCTATCTTACCTATTACCTATCTATCTATGTATCATCTATGTATTATCTATCTATCCTATTGGTTCTGTTTCTCTGGAGAACCCTAATACATAAGCAGAGAAATATTATGGCAGCACAGGTTAGAGGGATATCAGGAGCTTAGTTTTAGATATAGTATGTCTGTTAGCCATTCATTTGGAGATGTTAAATAAGCATGTAGGTATATATGAGTATCTTCCTCCAGATATCCACCTGACACACGATTTATTGTCCAACTCCCTCCTTTGGAATGCAGGCTCCATGAGAGCAGAGACTCTGCCTGTTTTGTTTGCTGCTATGTCCCCCAAACCTAGAAGAATGCCTGGTGCATAGTAGATGCTTAAAACTTACTGGAAAGGTGAATGAAGGAATGAATGAAAGAGTTAAGTGTTTAGTATAACAAAGTAGGTTGAGAATAGGAAGTACCTGTTTGAAAGTAAAATTGCTTGCCTGGCTACTACTAGGGAGAAGTTTGCAACAGGCATCACGTAATCAACATTTTCTATGTAAAACTATGTAAAAATGAAGAGACACTTGCAAGTCTTCTGTAAACTTTTATTTTATACTTATGGGCCACTGCCAATGCAGGGGCCTTGGCCTCTGGCTCATTTCTACAGATCTACTTGGAAAGATGTGGTAAAGGTAGAAATTGGAACTATTCCTGTTAGTAAATCATGGTTACTTACTGGTCCATAAATTAAATGCACATTGAAGTCTGTGTTTTATTCAGAAATCTATGACTCTCTGAACTTATAAAATGCATTTTTAATATGCAAGAGACAAAATATCTTTAAAAAGAAGACAATTGTCTAAACAAAATGATGTAAACTATGGCTTATAGGTATATATCACTGTATGTGAGTCACCAGTATAGTAACGGAATTTGACTGCTCACACATAGAGGAGGCCTGCAATGGCACAAGCTGGAACCTGATATCATTTTATACATGACTATGCTAAAATATAGCCCAAAAAATCAGCTTAGGTAATTTATCATCAGCAATCTATCTGGTGAAGTCTGATAGAAACATCAGACCTCTTGTCAGTCTCATCAGCACATTGAGTTGAGGAACTAGGACAATATACTACTTCAAAATTGAATGATTTTTGCTCTAGCACAGGAAAAAGTATAACCCCAAATACTGTTTTATCAAACCAACCAACCAACCAACCAACCAACCAACCAACCAACCAACTAATTAAACAAACCCTATTGTCAACCCATGGTGCATCCTCTTTCATGCTGCCTCTCATATTCCATTTGTAATGGCAACATGGTCACAAGGATTGTGAACACAGATATATTAAAACTAAGGCCAGTTGTCATGATGAACAACCACTAGATTCCACCCACTCAGAGTGTGTGCTGTAGTACAACTACAGGGCATTATTATTAGATTTCATTAAGTCCATACATACTGTCACACACATGCATATATCACACACACAAGTATATTCCATAAAGACAATCACAGAAAAATTGGCTAAAAGAAATGTACAGTTGTTTATATATATTTATATACACACAGTAAAAGGTTTTTTGCCGTACTCACAGTCTGTAAACATCTTGGAAAATGCCCAGCAAAAGTCACTGTGGGCCCTTTGAAATGGTAACCGTGTGAGGAGCAGGGGTGGGGGAGGTGTTTCGATTCATACTGGAAACCCAGGGAAGTGAAGAACCGTAAGTTCATGGTGGCATTTGGGGATAATTATATTTCACTGACATGATAAACTCAGTTCTGAGTTTATGGAACATTCCACAGAACTGCCATGGAAGCTGTTAAGTACTCGGAGACTCTATTTTCATGCAAAAGTAGCAAATATCCTTCTGGTTTAATTGAACAGTCTCCTTTCTCCCTGCTAACTCCCAACATTTTTTGGTGCTGAATATAACATGCAGAATATGTAAATTAGATAAATTAAAGAAGAAAGATTCATTGAATTTGTGACTATAAGCCAGTCCATGCTCTGATGTTTTGGAAAGCATTTTTCTGGGGTTGGGGTTGCATCATGGGAGAAGACTTGGAGAAAAGATTTCTGGAAACACAGTTGCTGCGTGATTTTTTTTCTCTTCAACAGACTTTGAAGGAATATTGATTAATGTTTCTTAAGCTGTTTAGTTAATACTGTCCTTATGGCTGCTTCTCTCTGTGTTGTGGTTGTTTTGTTCATGGTTCTTCCATTGTATGCTTGTTCCATTCATGGGGACCGAAGTCATCAGACTTTTGGACTGGTAACAGCAGCAGCAGAGGCAAGACTGGGAGAAAGAACAGATTCTAAATAACATGAGCATACCAACCCATTCCCAGCAGAACACAGAGGCCTTGGCTTCCTACCAACAAGGGGGAAATGTCCATACAAATTTGAGGACAGAATGTGAGCCTGAACAGTAATCTAGAGTATGGAGCCTATAATTTCTAGGTAGAAGTTAAACTGTCCATTCTAGTGCTGGAAAAATAGATCCCTTGTTTCTTGTTTTAATTTATTCACCAAGTCAAAGAGGAAGAGAAGGCAGTGTTGGCCTGAGGGAGATGTTCCATGACTTGGGGTAGGCATGGATGGAGAAGAGTCCAGAGGGGCCTGGCATTTCCACAGTGTGCACCATCTGCATGGGGCACCTCATCTGATGTTCATAATGACCTTAGGTGGTAGGTGCTGTTTTCCTCATTTTATTAATGAGGACAGGGAGGTTTAGGGGAGAAATAGGCAGAACTGGAATTAGAACCCAGGACTCTAGATTTCTCCAGCATATGCTACCTTTTTCTGCAGATCAGTCAAAAGACATGTTTAATTTCTGAGAGTTTGTACATTGATTTTTCCTTTCCCTCTAATTAGTATGTAAATTAATCAAAATGATGTTAACTCCAGATTATATATTATCATGACCAGCATTTTAGTCAATCCTTCTTTGGGCAGAATCTTTCTTATAGCATTTCATGACTTGTAAACATTATCAAGTAGACTTCAAAAAGGTGTTGGCTAGAACTTCCATGCCAAGATTCATTTATTTGTATGATTCTTTGGTAAATATATGTTTGTCTCCTTCTAGATGGCAAATTACATGAGGGCAGTCATTGTGGTTTTCCTCTCTTCTCTACCGCTAATAATAATAAACTCATACTGACAGCTTATTATTGTCTTAAGTGCTTAACATATATTAGCCCACTGAATCCTACCCATGAGATAGATAATCTATAAAATCAGATGATCAAACTGAGGCAGGAGGGGTACCACCTGGACCTGAGTTAGACAGTTAGCAAGTACAAAGCTGTGGTGTAAATCCAGATTGTTTGCTTCCAGGTCCTGCAGCCTTGACCTCTACCCTACTCTTCCTAATATGTGCCATAAACTGAAGTTAAACATCCTGGCCAAAGAGAACAAAATCCAGTTAGAATTAACTGTATGCTAAATCATCCCAGGAACTGCAGAAATGACACCTTGGTAAGAAGTGCATGGAGCTTCTGGAGGACGTGGGTTAGCTTAGCTGCAAGGAAGTTTGAAGAACATAAGGAAACTGATTTTGAATGAAATTACATTAGTTCAGATTTCCAGGGCAATAAGCATTTACTCTCCTTGAAGAGGCTATTATTAAATATAGTATTAAGCAGCATTTAGCAAGATTGTTTTTAACAACAGAATTTATATTTTGTTGGAGACTGTGGTTAAAGTCTAAGATAATGAAAAGCATGAATAGGTTTTATGTATTCTATGCAGCCTGGAGCTCACATTTGAGCATTCCTTTAAAAAAATTTTTTTTTAATGTTTTATTTATTTTTGAGATAGAGACAGAGACAGAGCATGAGTGAGGGAGGGCCAGAGAGAGAGGGAGACACAGAATCTGAAGTAGGCTGTCAGCACAGAGCCTGATGCGGGGCTCGAACCCACAAACTGTGAGATCATGACCTGAGCCAAAGTTGGATGCCCAACCAACTGAGCCATCCAAGCACCCCTTGAGCATTCCTTTAAAAAAAATTTTTTTTTAAAGTTTACTTATTTGAGAGAGAGAGCAAGAGCGAGCAAACCTGAGAAAGATCAGGGGAGGGGCAGAGAGAGAGGGAGAGAGAGAATCCCAAGCAGGGATCTCTCTGACCCAGAGCTAGATCCCATGAACTATGAGATCATGACCTGAGCTGAAATCAGGAACGAGATGTTTAACCGACTGAGCCACCCAAAGGCCCCTTGAGCATTTCTTTTTAAAACAGTGTATTTAAAAAAAATTTTTTTTAATGTTTATTATTTTTGAAAGAGAGAAAGACAGAGTAAGCAGGGGAGGGGCAGACAAAGAGGGAGATACAGAATCAGAAGTAGGCTCCAGGCTCTGAGCTGTCAGCACAGAGCCCAACGCAGGGCTGGAACTCACAGACCACAAGATCATGACTTGAGCTAAAGTCAGCTACTTAACCGACTGAGCCACCCAGGTGCCCCTTGAGCATTTCTTTTTAAAGCAGCATACTAAATTAGCATATTATTAAGTTAGTCTTTTTTATACCTCTGAATATTTTGTTGTCTGAACTGATCTTGCTTTTCTGACAATTTTTCTGACAATATTGCTTTATTTTTTATTTTTTTAAATTTACATCCAAATTAGTCAGCATATAGTGAAGCAATGATTTCAGGAGTAGATTCCTTCCCATCCCCCCTCCCACAACCCCTCCAGCAACCCTCAGTTTGTTCTTCATATTTATGAGTCTCTTCTGTTTTGTCCCCCTCCTTGTTTTTATATTATTTTTGTTTCCCTTCCCTTATGTTCATCTGCTTTGTCTCTTAAAGTCCTCATATGAGTGAAGTCATATGATTTTTGTCTTTCTTTGACTGACTAATTTCACTTAGCATAATACCCTCCAGTTCCATCCACGTAGTTGCAAATGGCAAGATTTCATTCTTTTTGATTGCCGAGTAATACTCTATTATATATCTACATATATATATATGTATGTGTATATATATATATATGTAGGTATATATATGTATATATATATGTATGTGTATATATATATGTATATATATATGTATGTATATATATATGTATATATATCTCACATTTTCTTTATCCATTCATCCATCGATGGACATTTGGGCTCTTTCCATACTTTGGCTATTGTTGATAGTGCTGCTATAAACATGGGGGTGCATGTGTCCCTACAAAACAGCACACCTGTATCCCTTGGATAAATGCCTAGTAGTGCAATTGCTGGGTCGTAGGGTAGTTCTATTTTTAGTTTTTTGAGGAACCTCCATACTGTTTTCCAGAGTGGCTGCACCAGTTTGCATTCCCACCAACAATGCAAAAGAGATCCTCTTTCTCCGCATCCTCGCCAACATCTGGACAATATTGCTTTATGCTAACAATCTGACTCTCTAGGTAACAGAATATGATTTTAACTTCTCTACTAGAATTAGCCATGCTTGTTGGCTATTTAATATAACCATTTGGTTGTCCTTAAAAAATACGTGCAAAACATTCTTACCTGGAAACAATTTTTAAATTTCTTGCTCACAAAGTATAGAGCTATTGGGTTTATACATGAATTCATGGTTGCCAAGTTAATACCGATGTAATCCATGAGCAGCAAGAAACTAGAACAAAAGAAAATAGTGTAGAATAATTAGAAGACAATGTTTTTAAATCTGCTAGCTAGCATTTATCCCTAGAATAAGCATTTTTCTTGCCCAGGAGCCATTTCTTATAGGTGGCAGTCAGAATTTTTTTAAAGTGCTTGTTTAAATGGCAGTTTCAGTTCTGCAGAACATTTACAGATATACCTGCCACTTGGTTAGCTCAAACCATTATGCACAGCCTCAGGAGGGGAGCCACAAGCCAAGCTATGGCTTGCACAAATTTGGGGATCAGTCATGGGCTATGTCAGCTCAAGAAAAATAATCAACTTGGCAGTTTTAATTTTCACGGCTAATGAGGCTATAGACTAGGTGGTTTGGTAAAAAGTATTATAAGTGTGCAAATTAGGGAAACTCCAATTTCCTAATGAGTACACAGGATCATACCTAAGTAATTCACATCGGTTCTTGTCCATCTCATCATACACGGTTTTCTTCAAAATACGGCTTAAGTGAAGAGGGAACCAGCAAAGAGCAAAAATTACCACCAAGCAGAAAACTGTTTTTGCCACTTCTCGACGCTAAAGGAAAGTGAGGGGAAAAAAAGTACAATAAGTTTAGTGTTTTTCTACCAGAGGAAAGAACTATACAAAGGAAATTGTAGATAGCAAAGAAAGAATTACTTAAAAAAGAGCCAGAACAGCATACCTCACAGTGCCTCTATCTCTTCAATATTTAGAGTCCAACTTTCTAATCAAGGAGTTGCTAATGATTCTTTTGGGTGGCTGCCAGGAAGGATGGTGGCCTGAAACTGGTTATTAGGGTAAGGATAGAAGTTAGATGTCAGGGAAATGGGAACTAGCTGGAGCCGAGCCAACACTGTGGCTGTGTGTGTGTGTGTGTGTGTGTGTGTGTGTGTGTGACTATATGGGGGAGATGGTTAGCTAAAAGCCTCCATAATGGGTAGCTAGCATTAATGGCAGCATGGCAGTCAAAGTGACTGAACCTAGCATAATAAAGAAGGAACAAATCTATGAAGATATTTGGAAAACGTAAGTAGGAAAAAGAGAAAAGGTCAATAGCAATGTGTTTCCCCCATTTCTTGCTGTTGAAGAAAGCTAGCACTGGGAGTTTTTTGCTTCTAAAATTCTTTTATTAATGACATATAGCTTCCAACGACATCTTGTTTGCAAACAGAGGGATGAGGGTAAAGGATTATCAGCAATGATGATTAGAACAAGTGGGACATGTTGACCCTGGACTGACTTCACTTTGAAGGTTTACATACTTTCGAGTTTGTGTAGACCAGAAAAATCATAGGTTAGGAATTATCTGCAACAGTCATTTGTGTGCATTATGCTTCAGCATTAAAACGCATGCATTTGAAAGCCTAACTAGGAACATAAAATGCAACTCGTCTGTAACTGGGATCAGTTAATGTCAAAATAAAATTGATTGAAAACAGGATTTGGAAGGGTAACGCTGGTTCAGCCCAAAGCATATAACATTAAGTATGGGAAGCCTACAATAAACCCACATGATTAATAGAGCCATTTAAGAAGATTTCAAGGCAGTTGTCACAAACTGCTGCTCTAGACCAAAGGACTGGAGTTCTTTAATCTTCCAGAGTTATTGGGTGGGATAGCTGGGATATGGCTTCAGAGAACATATAAGCTAAGCAATGGTTGAGAAAATAAAGAGTTCCAATCTGTAGGAATAGGGGATTATTTTAAAGGGTCCTTTGGTGTACACAGGAAGACAATGTGACCAGAAAAAGAGAAAAGGAGGGTACTGGGTACTGGGGGAAAGGTTATCTCCCTTCAGCACATCCTCAAAGAGGATGATCATTCGAAAGGTAATATGTTGTATGGTAGTCTGATATTTGCTTAACCAATATCTATTCTCCTGTTTTCCTTACTATCAGTCAGAACCGTGATTTTATTATGTCAGCAGGTGAGCCTGGGCTAATCATCTGCATGGCCACCTGACACAGTCGGACCACTGAGATCAAGTAGAAATCATTGTAAGAGGTTTCTGGAAAAGCTACTTAAAAGTGGAGGGTACTCCTTCTGATGCACACACACTAATATGATCTATATTCTTTCCCTTTTTGCTGCCTGGAAATCTGATATAGGGGTAGAGTTGTAGCTACTGTCTTCCAATACTAAAGGAAAAGTCAGCAAAACAGCAGACCCCTGGCTTCTGAGTCCCTTGAACACTGAACCAGTGACTTTTTTTTTTTCCTGTGGGAGAAAGAAGAAACCTCCACTTGGTTTGCTCAATGTTATTTTGGGTTTTCTGCTACCGGCATCCAAACACAATCCCTAACTGATAAAAGATGTTGAAAGAATAATACAGAGAAATTCAAGGAAACCGTGCAGAAAGCAAGACCAGAGCTATATAGGATACTAGTTAAAGGGTGGCATGGTCTTTCACTGAGAGCTAGCTCCCTACAGCCCCCATGGAAAGCCTTCCAGTAGGCTTGCTCTCCTGCTGTTGGAAACTGCTACAGCTTTGGGTGTGACAAAGGCAGTGACTACTGTAGGAGGACCAAGTCTTTGCTTTTAATTTCCACTTGGATAAGCCAATCGCTTAACCACCCTTATGCGGACATCTACCCTGCTTATATCTCGGGGTGCTTGGAAGAAATCAAATAAGCAAATGACATGCTCTTTGGAAACTTATAAAATGCTATGTAAATGTGAAGGAGCATCCTATTATTGTGACCAATCCCTATTCAGTTATTTTCAGAGCAGGTACCATTCAGCTTAAACATTCAATCATGGTGCTAATGAAAAAGTCAACATTGAAAAACACTATGGGGTTTTGTTTTTGTTTTTGTTTTTTATAAATCTATTCTAATTAATTACCTCCACTGCAGGAGTGAAACACAGTAATTGCTTGATATATTTTACATCTGGAGCACTTGAAACATTCATGCCTGAACAAAGTCATACTAAATTTTCTCAATATAATTTTCCGTTACATTTTAATAAAAAATATAGCTACCATTTTTATGGCATGTAAGGATTTTACAAAGTACATGTATGCACCTAATGCCTTTGATTTTTGTAATAATATTGATTCATATACAATTATGCCCAATTTATAGATAAGAAGCTGAAGACTCAGAAAAATCAGTACAATAGTTGAGAAGAGTTGCTGATGAAGAATGTTGCTTTTGTATGGTAATTGTAGAGAGCAGATTTACAGGCTTCATCAACAATTCATTATCTTTTGGTGCGGTTGGGTGTTCTTATCCACTTCTCTGCTGAGACGGAGAATTTACCTGTAGTCCTAGTTTTACTCTTTGAATTAATATATATCAAACATTTTCTGGGTACTTACTATGAGTTGGGCTCTATTAGACACTGTACATGCATTAGGTAATCCTCTTGATGTTTTATTATATACATTTTGTTTAATTTTTTAAAAGTAGTCTCTATGCCCAGTGTGGAGCCCAACATGGGGCTTGAACTCACAACCCTGAAATCAAGACCTGAGCTGAGATCAAGAGTCAGATGCTTAATTGACTGAGACACCCAGGCACCCCTATTTAATTTTTTAAAATTTAAAACTGAATCAGTATTTGTACAGAAAGGTACAGATATTATTGCATATATTTTATGAAGACCCAGAGATTCAGAGAGATTAAGCAATTTGCCCAACAACACAGAGCCAGCAAGTATAAGTGTAAAGGTTTGCCCTCTAAAGTCCATGGCTGTACATGTTCTGTTTGCTTCCTGGTAGTGAGGGAGGGGAGGGGAGGGCAGGGAGGGAACCAACAGCAGCTTCCTATTGACATGTACAAATTTGGGGGCTATCCAAAATCTGACCTCTTTTTATGTACCCAGTCCCATTTCCTATCCTGAGTCTTACCTTGGATGGTTTTCTAGTGAGGTTCATCTCTTTTTTCCACTCCCCAAATGCGTGGTGCCTGTGCCATGTTCTAACTAGACTCCTGTCCTCCCACTTGAAATGCCCTCTGTCTTCTTCTTCCCCATCAAACCCATTTATCCTTTACGAACAGTTCGATCTCCCTCATCCATGACAAGCGTCTTTGTGACTTTGTCTTTATATCATCCTTGGCTTTCTACAGCATAGGCTACTTTTACCATATTTGGTGATTCTATTTTCTAATTTTTTCATGTTGTATTTTATTTCTACACCAAGACTGCAAAGCCTGCTAGGGGAGAAAGTCCTATGCCTCTTTGTGTCCTGGCACAGTTCCAAGCCCAGTTCAATTCACAGACACACAAACACACATGTTCAATATACTCTTGGCAAACTAAATGAATAGTTCCTCTCTATTTGGCCCTGCCTCCAGGCCACCTGTTTTACAGGCAGACTCTCTATTTCACAAAAGAAATTCCTAACACTGGGGCGCCTGGGTGGCTCAGTTTTTAAGGATCTGACTTCATTCTGCTCAGGTCATGGTCCCGTGGTTTGTGAGTTTGAGACCCACACTGGACTCTGTGTTGATGGCTTGGAGCCTGGAGCCTGGAGCCTGGAGCCTGGAGCCTGGAGCATGCTTGGGATTCTGTATTTCCCTTGCTCTCTGCCCACTTGTGCTCTGTCTCTCTCTCTCAAAAATAAAAATAAAACATTAAAAAAATTAAAAAAAAAGAAATTTCTAATACTATAACTATAAATAAAACAGTTATAAGACTTTATTTTTAGCAAACCAGGGTAAATATGCTAAATAAATACACTTATTTATAGGCCTTCTGTTGTCTGGGACAAATAAGTCTTGGCCAAATTTTCACGATCTTATTAGGTTTACCTGTTTAAGGTGTTCACTGAGGGCAATTCTCAAGCTTCCGTTCCTTCTGTTTAACATCTCACAGGTCATGAGGGTGTAGAAAATTGCAGTGCACACCAAGGGCATGCAGAAATAGAACCCGAAGAGCCACCAGTCTTTCACATCTTGGTAAAACTGTAGGGTGAAGAAAGGGAGAGAATAGGAGGTGCATTGTAATCGAAATTTACTGGGCAGTGCTCTGGTAGTTTCAAAATCTTCGTGCTTGTAGATATGTTTCTACATTCACACTTGTGGTAAAGGGCTTGGTGGTGCTCAAAACTCAATGGAAAATCCAAAATCCAATGGAAAATCCAAAAATGATCCTGGCTTTCTAGTAACACATGAAGAAATTGCACTTAAAAATAATCCTGACAAAGATACTTTTTATAAACCGAAATTGGTTTTAATAACACAGTGGGAGAGCCCTACTCGAGAAGAAGAGTTCCCTCCCAAAGCTCATAAAGCATGATTTTGAGATAGATAGAATATGTATTTATCTTTACTTATTGATGAGCCTCAAAACTTTGCTAGTGCCAAGTTTACTTTTGACTCTTGTGGTTAAAGTGTACTTAATGTGAATATCTTGTGTGGTAACAGCGAAGGTTATGAATGGCTTATCTGTGTAGCTCTGGTTACTGGGAGTTAACCCTTTGCCTGGTATGCTTGCTATGTGACCTTGCAGCCAGCCAGTTAGAGCCATCAATAACCATGCCCTTTCTCGAGCTCTTAATACTTATCACCTGGAAACTATTGAGGCAGAGTATCTTATCTGAAGGCCTATTTAGCATTATCTCTCTGTGGGCAGGATTTGTAAATACTAGTATTATTAAGTTTTATGTCTTTTTAAAGGAGAAAATTTAGTACTCTACAAAATGGAAATTAGAAAATTATATCTGCGTTCTTCCTCCCACTAAATTAATCACCGACTTAGGAAGAAATGCTTTTCCTTATACTCTTTCTCCAGATTGTTTATTTACGAAGGATAATGCAGCCTCCTGTATTATCTCAGTTCCCACAGTAAAAAATAATCATGCTGCTCTGTGAAAAACCGGACAGTTGCTGAATATAGAAAGAGGCCCAGTAGGCTACATTTATAACATGTCTATTAAAATAATCTATAAATGGTTCCTGAGGAAAAAAAGTTCTGGGCAGAGGTTCTTAACTGTTTCTATGCTTTGGAAGTCTGGTGAAGACTATAATCCTTTCTGAGAATAATACTTTTATATGCATAAAATAAAATAAGATTACAGTGGTAGCCAATTATGTTGAAACACAGCTATCAAAATATTAAAATTCTGATCTAGGTGTTTATTAACAAATTAAATGAAAAATCAAATGGTGGCTCTAATAACCATCAGAAGTTGAAATAATGATGAGCAGAAATGATATTTCAAGATTATCCAACTGTTATGTTATGAAAATGTGTATTACTTCCATTAGTGGAAATAAAATGGTTCTGTTAAATATGACTGTGGTTGGTTGCCTACATTCATAATAGAAGGAAATGATAAATTTCAGTTAGAAGTTAGTGAAAATCAATATGTAATTTCTTTTCCATTCAGGTTCACAGACCCCTGAATTCTATCCTAAGGTTAGTGCAAACTACACCAAGGGACTTGGTTTATTCAGATCTGTTTACACAAGTATTTCCCTCTCCACATCACACTGTAGAAAGATTTGCGTACTGAAGGAAACAAAACAAAACACAAGAACAAAAAAATCAGAACTCTTTGTTTAAGTGCACACAAACACTCCTTTAAGCGCTCTCTTCACTTGTACCTCCTTCTTCCAGATGCATTGCTGCCTGGGTGTGAATGCCCTAGAAGCAGCTGCAGAAGGTCTGGAAGCTGACCTCTGAGGGGTCTCAATGGAGTTCCCTGCCCCCTCCATGGCAGAGGCCTGTAGAGAAAGGGGTCACACGTTTCTTTTGAACTAATGTCATCAGCCAGGGTATGGAGGGACCTCCCTCCATTCTAGGTTAGGGCAGAGTTGAGGAGGAAAGAATGGAACACAAGCTGGGGGAGAATGAGTCTGAAAACTTCAGAGTTGGATGGAATCTAAAAAACAATCAGTTTGAACTCATACTTTTCATTGTAATCCCCTTAGGTAGCTAGCTAGTCTGCTTGCCCACTCTAGAAGAGAGACTCGGTTGTTGTGAAGTAGCCCATTTCATTTTGTCTAGTTTCAACTGATTAGTGAGCTCATTCTTATACTAAGCCTCTTCTCTTTAACGCTTTTGTCGGGAATAGCTAGATTGCTTATTCGCACTGCCCAAATTCTGATAACCTCCTGCTGCTACTCTGTTTTTCACTATGGACATCGACTTAATAAAAAGGTCAGTAGATAAACAGAAGACCTTAATTTTAACATCGCCAGTTTGGCAGTTTTCATGAGTACTTTTAATTTTAAAAGAAGAATTTCCAATGCAGGAAAACTGGTCAACTGTAAAACCACTAATTTTGTGAATTTTTCAAGTTAGGAAAACATACCTGGGGATGTCTGTGAAGGATTAAATGTGGAATCTGAGCTGCATGAAACCTACATCAAAGCACTAAATTATGCTGATTTAAGAGAAATGGTTCTCCTTTTCCTCCCCAGTCCACATTTGACTAGTTTGGCAAAGGAAATATGCATTTTAAACATGTTTCCCAGTACACTCAGTTATGTAATTAAACTTTTCAAAAAAACATTAATGTGGTCAGATATATCGAACAACAACTGAATTTGTTAAAGAACTAAAACACTTTTTAAAAAGTTCTGCAAATTTGTTATTTGTATATTACATATAGAATTTGTACTAATATAAGTACATGAAGTATAACTTCCTACTTTAAGTTAGTAAATCTATCTTTAAAAAAGTGTGAGGAATGTGCATTTCCCCAAATAACATAAAATACATATTAGCATGCCCATCAGATGGAAATTGTTGTGCTGTATTACTTATGATAAAAACAAATAGCACTGTGTATTTATCTCCCCCCCCCCCCCCCCCCCATCTATCTTTCTGAGTAAGTTTGTTTCAGATGCTGAGTTGTTTGGGGTAAAACTAGAGTTGTGTCTACAATTGTGCTCTAATATAAGAGTGAAAACAAAATAGTTGCTCTAATTATGGGACTGAACTAACAGAGTAAGCCACACTGGGCACTGTAAAAATATCAACAAGTCTTGGCGATGGTAAAGTATATATGAAGACCTCCTCTCCTCCCCAATTTCCTTTAAACTCTCCATACCTCCATGAATCTTGATGTGGCATTGAGCATACAGGTTTTGTGCTGTTCACCCCTGTATTCAAAGGGCACCATGACGAAGCCGATAGCTTCAGGGATAGCCAGGATAAAAGAAAGGATCCAGATGGAGACGATCTCAATGGCAGTGATCAAGGGAATCCCAATTCCCTGGACACGACTCCAGGAGGCAACTGCTCTGTACCTGAAAAACAAAAGCAGGGTGGGGGTGGGGGCAATGGAGGCAGAACCTAGTTGTTAGGAAATTTAAAATTTATTTCATTTAAAAAATAATTATAAATGCTAGAAAGATCCTCCCCTTAGCCAGTGACCAATCACTGGAACTTTCCAATGAGTCCTGGAACTTTCTGTGAGTCCTGATGTGAAAAATAAGGACCCTTCTGTGAGTCCTGATTTGAAAAGTAAGTGGAACCATTAAGAGTTCCACCCCTTTGGGAATCAGGTGTCTGGCAGGCCTGAGTCTGAGGTCTTCATTTGGGATTCAGGAAAATCTTGTGATGGCTTATAATGGTGCAGCATCAGATAAATGTGCTTATGTTTTTTATTTTTATTTTTTTTTAAAGATTTTTTTTTCAACGTTTCTTTATTTTTGGGACAGAGAGAGACAGAGCATGAACGGGGGAGGGGCAGAGAGAGAGGGAGACACAGAATCGGAAACAGGCTCCAGGCTCTGAGCCATCAGCCCAGAGCCTGACGCGGGGCTCGAACTCCCGGACCGCGAGATCGTGACCTGGCTGAAGTCGGACGCTTAACCGACTGCGCCACCCAGGCGCCCCGTGCCTATGTTTTTTAAGCTGGGGGAAAAAACTGGATGATGGAAGGTGTAGTGAAAGCTGCTGGTACTTGTTAAGGTAACATCTTACTCCTCTCTATATATTAAAAAAAGAAACTTGAAACATTATTATGAAGTGGATCTAGATATCCTTAAATGAATATGACCATAGATAGCTGATCATTTTCTCCTTTCTTCTCTCACTGTATACCTGGTAGTCAAAGAATGACTATCTCCCATTATGGTCCTGAGCTAAAATAGATAAAGTGGAGTTAAAGATATCTTGGTTCCTAATCTTTAGGGTTTACAATCTAATAGAAAAGAAAGGTTCATAGAAAAATGTAGAACATAAATGTTACTGGACAATCATGTCAATCAAAAAACAAACTGGCATTAAGAAATTGTTTATTTTCTACTTTAATATTTTTTGTGATAGTAATCCCATTTCAATGTTAAGTCTAAAGAAAGTTTGGTTTCAGAAAGTCTGTGTTTCTGACCTGAGGTGATGGTCTGGTGCTAACTACTTTTAGGCTTACTATTAAGATGGGACCTGTGACATGGTATGGTATTTTTGTGGCTTCATTCTTGAAATTTTTTTTTGCTGTTGTAATGGAAAGTAAACATTCTCTTTTTATAGCTTTCATTAGATAGTGCCAGAAGAAGACTGTAAAACAGACCAAGGCATTGGGGACAGGTGCACATGGGCTTGTAGGGCACATGACTTAATGTCAAAGATTTGTCAGTAAAGCCAAGGCAAACTACACGTTACCCATAATCACTCTTATCACTTATATTTACTGTGTTGTCTCAGTGCATCTACAAGGTACATCTGTGAAAACACAGGTCTTAGGAATTATGCTACCTAGTTCTTCACTGTAGATTAGAACTTATAGTTTGGGTATGCACGACGATGCCATATGGCACACATATAGCACAATTTGCTGAAGAAATATTTTTTGCAAAAGATTTTTAGGATAAATAAGATTGATGTACAATAAGAATCTTAAAAAAAAAAGTCCAGATTAGTTCAGAATTGAATAAAATACAGCTATGCAAAGAAACCAAGAAAATCCTTTTACGATATAGCGAAGATTGCATTTTTAAATTTATGGTTATTTCCAGTGGGATAAAGACTGCTATTTATTTTGCTTTTCATTTCTGTTTACTTTTCTTTGTTGCCTTATTAGACTGGCAGCCTGATGTCCAGTAAAAGCTAAAAGGAATGGAGACAGGATGTCTATATCCCGAGGCTGTCAGTGAGTTATATCTATTTCTTTTCCCCTTCTCTTAGATCAACTATCAGGAAAGATGCTTTAAATAAAGTGCTTTATCTCCGAAGGGAGTAAGGAAGCAAGATTTATTAGGCAGGATTGGAGATAGAAGGTGGTTTGAGAAGGAAAATGTGGTCAACATGTTATGATGAGTATATTCACAAAGCAGCTTCATTTTGTAATATGCCATGAGTCCTCAAATTATTACATGTCTATAATCTAATGTAAATTCAACATTTTAAAATAAATAGAAGTAGTTTTTAGTGTATAGTGTGGCAAACCCACATGACTGAGAATTAGACTATTTTTTATTTGTAATCACATTGATTTTGATGACATTTACATGACATGAGAAAACAATTGTAAGAGTTAATTAGAAATAATCATTTGTGATGATGGGGGTAGGGAAAGGTGTGAAAGATAAGAAATACCGGATGTTCCAAACATAATTTCTATTTAGAATATAATGATACAACACACATATCCATAAATATGTTCTCCTAACTAGGTGCGATTATAAACATCCTTCAATGGAGCTAGTGGACACATATGACATTTTCACTTGCCATAGAAAATCTGCAAGTGTAGATTCAACCACTAACAGCTGATATTCCAGAAATGATGTCTACTTTTTGCAATGGTTTCTTCTCTCGCCTTCTACTACATTTCTCCTGGTCTTTCTCCAGCTGATAAGGCTGGCTATTTCTTCTCATCTCCTTGGCTGGAACCTGCTCACTTCTCAAACTCTTAGCATTGGATTCCTCCTTAGTCCTTGGTCCTCTTTTCTATTCTATCAACACACTTTCTTTTAGTGATCCATCCAGTCTCATGGCTTTAGCATCATTTAAAATTTCTATATACTGATAATTAATTCCCAAATTTATAAGTCTAACCGAGGTCCCCGCCTCTAGCTCCTGACTTGTCTTTCCAACTAGTTAACTGATATGGCCACTTGAAATCTAATAGGCATTCGAACTTACCCAAACCAGACTCCTGGTCCCTTTCATGACCTCCACCCTGCCCTCTCTTCAGTCCTTACCATCTCAGGCCCAGAATTTGAAGTTAGCCTTAACTCCTCTTTTTCCCTTTGCTATCACACATCCAATTCTTTAGCAAACCCTGTGACCTCTTCCTTCACGATACACCTAAATGCAACCACATCTCACCATCTCTCCTGTTACCATCCCACCTGGATTATTTTAGTAGCTTCCTAACTAGTCTCCCTTCATCCATTTTGTCCTACTTCATTCTATCCCAAACATAACAGCCAAAGTGAGCCTGTTAACATGTAAGTCCCTCATGTCATCCCTCGGTTCAAATCCCCCAGCAGTTTCCAGCCCAGTGGGAATGCCTACTGGTGTTCTCAGAGCTGCTTCCTCATCTGCTTTACTTTACTCAGGTGTAGCTTTTCATAGGGTCCTTCCCTGAACATCCTGTTTGAAATTGCCAGAATCCCCTACAGACTTACGCTGACCTGCTCACGCTGATTGGTTTTTCTCCATAGCGCTTACCAATTGGTCACCAATATGTGACCAATCAAATATTTTATTTATCGTCTCTGTCCACCCTTGTCTTTAGAATATAAGCGCCATGAGGGCAGGCATTTTATATGTTGGTCACGATACCTAGAACAATAGGTGCCAAATAAATATCTGTCGAAGTAAATGTCTTTGTTTCCTGGCCATGCATTTATCTTTATCAGCCAATAAAGCACACTACATTCTGAGCATTTTCTTATTTTTTAAGGCAGCCTTGACAGACAACAAACAAAAAGCTAATACTTTTAGAATCCTAGAAGCAAATAATTAAAAAACCATGAGGGACTCTTGGGGTGATCTTTCTCCCCTTCATGTTCTACCAGTTGGGAACCTGAGGACTGGAGTGTTACTATATCGTCTGCCTCATCTCCTGTGAACGTGGAGAGCCCGGACTAGGGCTCTGGTCTGCCAACACCCAGGGGAGTCTTTTCCCACGACATCACCTTGTACCCTGTCATGTGATATGCCAAAATAAAAGTATAAATTATGCATTTTATTTATGTAAAGATGTTTGTTACTGTGTATGTCTATATATAGATTTCTACATGTTTCCAAGGCCAAAGGCATTTAATGCATGTTTTTGAATTTTTGAGGTATGGCCTGGGATGGTAAGTATATTTTAATATATTTATTATTGAATGTACTTTAAAACAGGATGAAATAAAACAAATTAAAAAATACCACTTCAACAAAACCTATTTTTATTTCTTCTTATTCTTTGCCTATTTCTATTCTCACAAGCATAATCTAAATATATATTATAACCATATCAATTACAATTTTATTTTTAGCTTTATCTACTTTTCATGATAAAAAATGGCCTTATGCTTCTACAGAAGCATGGCATTTATTAATTTATAGCTACACAGTATAACTGGATATTGATACAGTTGACTTAAATATTTCTCCTAAGTTCACATCAATTCTAGTGTTTCAAGGTTGTGAATAACACACTTATAAATATGTTTGTATATATAGTTTTTTTTCTCTTTTTGAATGATTTTCCTGGATTAATTATCTTGAGGGGAATTATTGAATCAAGAGAAGGAAAAGGTAACTGAAGTACTTTCAGTACTTCAGTAATTTCTACCAAGTGCCTATCGATACTTGTCTACATTGGAATTTATTATTTTCCCTTCCATGTTGCCACTTCCAGTAAGTGTCACTTCTACCCTTACCTATGCACATTGTTATTTAACAGCAAATGCAATCATTTGTAATGTTTCTTTACGATTTATGTATCTTATATGATAGACAAACTAACTTCCATGCAGAGGTTTGGAGGCAAAATACCAGCAGGAAGAATTTTATTTTATTTTTATTTATTTATTTATTTCAGCAGGAAGAATTTTTTTAAATTTTATTTATTTAATTTAATTTTAGTTTTTTTTAATATATGAAATTTACTGTCAAATTGGTTTCCATACAAC